TTTCTTTTTGTACGTGAACCACAATTGAAAGCAGAAATAAACGGATAAGTGGTAATGATATTAATATTATTAATAGCAGGGAAACCACCCTTTAAATAACTGGTTCGATCTATATTGTCCTAACTTTCCTTAATACGTTAACATTGGTTGAGTACATTTTGATTCTACAAGCCTAGGCCATACACTTTGACTTTTGTATTTAATAGATTATTACCTGTGACTACTTCTCCAATACTTTTACGACCCATTTGAAGTCCCAAATAAAATGTGTAGAAAATGTTGTGCGTTTTGGTAAAAAACTGTCGATTTATATAATATCATTGATTTTATAATATATAGTATATTATAAAATCAATGATAATATGCATCACTTAAGTAGGTATATAACCCTACTAATAATATAATATGTATTATACCATACATATTATAATCGATCATTTTCTTTTTGCCTCAGTTGAAATATTCTCAATAATATATTATAGGTACCTATTGTCTTTTTCTAAAATGTTTATGGTATACTTTGTAACTTGTCTAGTTGTCTGTGTAATCGTACACTTTGCCTATTGCTCTAATACAAGCTGAATAATAGCTGTTACTCAATGTTACATAATATTTATATATTATATAAACTAAAGTGACTGATTCATAACAACGCAGAGCCGAACCTATTAGAGCTATAGATTTGAAATTTTGAGGGTAGGTTAATATTATAATTGCACCGTGCACTAAGAAATAATTTTGAAAAATTTTGATTTTAAGGGGTTAAAATTGGCAAAAACAAAATTTTACTTGTTAATTGAATATCTATATTCTATATACAACGAACTTTATTATTTTTTTTTTTTTTATGTTACATTAATTTATTATACAATTTGTAAATTTATTTTTTTGACAATGAGTACAAGCGCTGTGAGAGTTGATGGGTTGGAGGCTTGAGAGAAGAATCCATCCAGTGATGGAACTTCTTGGAACTTTATTATTATTATTATTATTATTTCTATGATTACCATGATTATTGTTTATTTTCATTATTAAACATAGTGGGAATAATTAAAAACGGATATATTCAATATAATTGTATTTTGTAAAAAGTTTCTTCCATTGAAGAGATTTTTGTCTACGGAATATTGACAATTCAAATACTCTCAAACACCCCAACTATAAGTGATAGTGCCTGTCTTTTTTAGTTCACTTTCATTTAATTTGTTTAACACTCAAAAAAGATGCCAGGAGATCGGAAATACAATTGTTTCGTATATGTCTCTGATAATTGGACTAACTTTATCACTATAATTCTTACAATTTAAATGATGACAACTTCTCCACTGCTGACGATTATAATGTACGTGAAATGGTTAATCCTACTGTGGACGGTGGTTATTGCGAATATTTTCCCATTTTTATTTGAAATTTATTATGAGAATAATCTTTAAGCTAAATTTGGTGTAGATATATTCCCGGTAACTGGAAATATTAGTAGTCATTTTTATGTTTATTTATCTTTTTGTAATAATCCTTTAAATGTTACAGAAAATTACTACTTCAGAGGGCGATTTTCCCATTTCTAATAATGTTAGTGTCACAGAAAATGTAATCTGTATATAAATATGAGACTTTCCTGAGTGACTCACAATCAACGCAGAACCGAAATCTAATAGAGCTATCAATTTGAAATTTTGAGGGTAAATTAAGGGTATGTAAATTAATATTTATTTATTATTGGTTAATTCAGCGAGTTACACCCAAAAGGAGTCGAACAATCATATTTTTTTTAAGAGTTGCCATTTTTAACTTGCAACAATAAGTGCACGGGATCAGCTAGTATATAATATATAGAATAGCTTTATTAACCTAAACGTCAAAATATCATACAATAAGTACATACAATTATATCCTATCTTAATAACTTTTTTACTATGTGTAACCAATGGCCACCTCGTACAAAACCATATTCGACTTTCGTGAGCACTAAGCCGAAACAAAATGTGTGAGCTACCCTATAGTGGCTTATATTGGGAAGGCAGATTAACACAGGGAACGTTGTCGACGTACTGACCGTACTGCCTGGCGTACTGATGGTTAGCCTAACTTTCGTGGAGTCGGGATACTATTATCAGCTTGTATGTATTTTCCCCCACATTTCGTAAACGTTTTGCTTTAAGTAAAGTGTATTTGAATGTATTTGATAATATTAGTAGAAATTGAACTTACCAACGTATACAGTTAGCTATAGGTACCTATAGCTATGAGGGGACATAATGCTTTAAGGGGACGTAATGCTAACGCAGCCCCCTCCGGTTCTCGATACCATGGGGAAAAAAAAGGTACCAACTACCAGCGTATCAAGTTTCGTTAGCAAAATTAATTTATTAGAAAAAATAAAATAACCGATATAGAACTATAATGAGGTATATGTGAATATCTTGAATCGGAATAGGTACGAATTGTTTTCACCTGAGCGCGCTTTGTTAATATTTTTCCCCAATAGTATTATATGGTTGAAAACAAAGTTACCCCGAGTTCTAGGGTACCCATCTATTGATATAACTTTTATCGAAAATGGTACAGTATAGACGTATAGTTGTTGAATCTATAGAAAACGGACAAACAAACATTCATTTTTAAATATAAGTACTAGAATATTATATAATGTAGTAAGATTAGAGTGTAAAATACTTTATTAGCGTCTAAACATTGTGCAAAATCCAAAGTATCTCAAGGTACGGACCTTAATCATATGAGTACTACGCACTAATGTTCTGATGATGCGATTCGATATAGTCGTTTAAAATTTTTTTTTTAAAACCACCGTTCATTGACGTCAGAAATTTCACTATTGCCCTGGCCCCCCTGACCTTGTGCGTCATTTCATTCCATAACACGCATATACACATAGGTACTGGACAATTCTGTTAAATTAAAATTCTCAATGTCACGAAAATTACTAACGTTATTGTTATTCTTTTTTATAATATGTTTTGAGTCGTTACAAGTTCTATATTATTTTTTACTATATCTTTATCGTTTTTTACTTTTTTGAATAACGACTTACCTACTTTTATTTCATAAAACTAAGAAGAACATTTTTCTGAGAATTTATATATTCGGGATGATTCTCCAAGTATGCTTCCTTTTATAATTAGTTTATTAAATTTCTTTTTTTTAATTTTTAGTGTACCTATTACAGGACAATTATATTACTTTTTTTTTATTGTCTACGAGTTAATACTATACTTATAACTCAACAAACAATTACTGCAGAACTATAATTTCGAATATTTTTAGTTTTCTATTATTTAAGGAGTGTTCTGTGTAGATGCCAACATTTTATTTTTTTTTCAAATTGTAATTACCCTTTTTTAATAAATTGTTAATAAAATTTTTTTTGATGTGAAATATCTATTATAGCTCCTTATTTGGCTTCTTGGTGATAAGACCAACTAGTATGCCGTTACGGCAAACATTTTGACAAAAAATAAATAATAATAACAAAAACCAATGTTAACCATTCATAAACAAAAAAAAATATTAATAATAATATTAATAATTTGGAGCTTTGCGACCATTATCGCCTTTCAATTCTTAAGACAACATTTGTTGAACAAAAAAATATTTTCAATTCCTTTCCTAGTTATAACTAACATCTCCGTTCAAGCTACCTAGCTTAGTTTTGATATTCATCGGAAATCCTCCGGCCGCATTATTCAAAAACGTGCATGGTATGACGTATGGAAATGGCAATGAACAAGTGTCGCTAGTACTTAAGTTTTTGAAATTATTAATTTATCAACAACTAGATCACCATTTACTTGTATGGTAATGCCAAGTTTGGGTGGTTTTCAATTACTTTCCTAGTTGATTTACAAAAATATAATTAATTTATCATTGCAAATATTATGGCCCTTTACTAGTTAACTAAATACCTATTTGAAAATTTCATAAATCAGAATTTGATATAATATGCCAAATAATGGGAGGGGGCTTGATAAATACCTAGTATTAAAATTAAATTTCAATAACGTTATTAATTTTTTATGACTTACAAGGTGTGTTTAAAGTTGAAAAGCGTCAATAAACAAAGCGTTAGAAATTAAAATCCAATTTTTAGCGGTTTTTCGTAATTGTTCGGTGGTTTTTACCGTGGCATTAAATAACTATTGATAAAATCGAAAAATGACCTCTTTAAAGTACCATCATGATCCAATTTTCTAAAAGATGTGTTGAAATCGAAGAACTCCTTCTGGTAAAAATTTTGTATACAGGATATAAAAAGAAGAAGAAAATAAAATAAAAAAAAAAAAAAATTGTTTTTATAAAAATTAATTTTTGTATTGACCGGAGCTGAAAGATAGGTCTTGTTTATGTTATAGTACGATATAGTTCACACACTGTATAATATTATCATTAAACTCAAGCTACTTAATAAATAATTATAAAATCGAATTTAATGTTAAAACATTATTATTATACAATTAACGGGCACACCTTAGGTGGGTACCTATACATCATCCTAGAAAGGCATCATGCCCACTCCATTAAGTGTGATTAGTGTGAATATTTTTTTTCGCACTCGGATCTCTGCAGTTATTATGTGCTCGTCATTAACAATGTTGCGTAGCAGGTGAGTATATAATATTATGAAAAGAATTAGATGCAAATATTCAAGTACCCATTGATCACGCGCGAAGTGATCGAATATATTGATTTATGTTAAATATTTTCAATTTTCACACGAATAAATGACACGTAAGACATCGCCTAAACTATCATATTATAATATATACGTATACACAATACTGCACAACTTGTCAATAATATATTTAAGTATATTGTATATTATATAATAATAATATCATATATATTATTAAATATTATAGGTAGGTACTTTTTAAAGTATAATAAATTATATATTGTTATATTATATATTATATCGAAAAATTATAAGAAAAAAAAGATCTAAGAATAAGACGTGGTGGTGAACTTTCCAACGACGATGAAGTCTAGTACTTGGGCGGTCCTAGTGTTCGCTGCATAGGGGGCAACTGAAAGTACCGGCCTTGCTGGTTGTTCGGCACGTACCACATCTGTTGTGGTTCAATGCTGAACTGACGTACTGCTCCGGGACGTTGCTGCTGGTTGAAAGTCGGTTGCTGCTGGTTGAAAGGTGGTTGCTGTTGGTTGAAAGGCGGTTGCTGTACCGGTCTTGCGTTGAACTGAGGCTGTAGCTGTAGCTGCTGCTGCTGTGGCTGTTGCTGTTGATACCCCCCGGGCACCAGCCTTTGCAAAACTGGCACGACCTTTGGCTGGGTCTGGATGGCCTGGGGCACCACCTGTAGGACGGGCACGACGGACGGTGCTGCCGATCTGGGTGGTTCGAACCTCTGCATGACAGACTGCTGCTGCTGTTGCTGCGGTGAAGGTCGCGGCTGCGGTCCCGGAGCCGGGTATGCTGATTGCAGTTCCGGAACGGGTTGGCCGCGGAACTGTTGGTAATAGTCTTGGGGGTTACCAGCCGACGGACCCTGCGATTGGTCAGCCGTCGCAACCGATGCGCGGACGATCATTTCCAACGGCTTTTCGGTTGGCCCACGGCCCACGAACAACACGTTCTGCGATTGTTCCGCCACGTCGTTGGCCGCTTGACCTGCACTGACCTGTTCTGCAACCGACGGCACTTGTGGCTGCTCCGATGGCCGCACTTGGGGCTGCTCCGATGATCGCACTTGGGGCTGCTCCGATGACTGCACTTGAGGCTGCTCCGATGACCGCAATTGTGGCAGCTCCGAAACCGTTTGAAGCTGCTGCTCCGACCTCGCTTGTCCGCCATCGTCCAACGAATCGGAGTTGGCCAACCTGAACTGCGGCCGGGCGAAGGCGGTCGTCTGGGCGACGTTCTTGAACGCCAAACTTTTTGGCAAGTTGGACGCCGCAGGCGGACCAACGGGCAGATGTGCGCCGTATGCTCGGAACCCATCTACTCCCGCGGTGTAGGTCACCTCTATCGGTAAACCTTCCGGAGAGACGTACTTGTACGAGCCGACCACCGAGTTCGCTTCGTTTTCCGTTCCCTTGTTCAACATAACACCACGTTCTTCCGCGTAAATGCCATTTCCGGTTTCATATCTGCAGCATATAAAATATACATCATATAATATATGTAGGTATGGATATAGGTATGTATATAGATTATAGGTATAAACCAACAAGAATGAAATTAACTGGATTAAACACTGCACAAATAATATTCAACTACTACAACCATACCGCGACATTCACGCGAGAATAAAATAATGCATATGATAATATAGATGTTCGCAGCCTTACAGATAAAACTCAGCTGAGACGGATGTATAGGATATCTCCTGAACCCTGATTCCTGCTACTATATAATGTGAATTAAATATAACTGCAGTACCAGTATACCTATATAGGTGCTTAATAAAAATTAAAAACTCGATTCTAATAATATGTCTCATTACTTTTCTTGGCAATTATATTTTACTGTAAACAACCAAGTTTATGGGCCACGTCTGAGAAAATGGCAGGGTAGTATTAGTACTTACATAATATTTTATCGTATTATAAGATCCAATCAATGTCTTTTAAATTTATATACTTTACTTACTAATAATATTAATTTAACTGAACGTAAAATATTATTTAGATTAGGTACCTAATAATAATTATATTATAAGTACCTACATAAATACGGTTGCATGGTGGTCCAAAACACAAGTTTAGCTGGTCAAAATTAAAAATAAAACTATTGACACACAAAAATATAAATTTTATATGATTTTTTGATATTTGTATTTCATTATGTTAGGTATTTGTCTAGATATTTTGAGGGCAACAACAATAATAAGAAAGCAGTACAAACATATAATAATGAAACAGGAATTATGCTACTTCTTGTCTATATATTAGGTTGGGACAAAAATATGTTCTATTTGGAATCGGTATAGATTATAACTTATAGACGATCAATTTATCATCAGTTTATTATTTATTAGACAACTTTTTTTCATTGCCTATTTTTGACAGGCTATAACCTTATGTTTTAAAATTATATGCAACGGTGGACGGTTAATGGGTATAATTCACATCAATCAAATAAGCAAAATGACTTTTCAAACATACTACTCAGTCTATCCGCTCTTATATATTTATATTTTATATATTCCATATACAATATACTTAACTGATAAGCGATATTAGGTCTAAATCCTATCCTTTATCAGACATTTCCATATTATCAGTTAAAATAATAGTATTAGATATCCCTATTATGTGGAAAATAATTAATATTATTACTTGACAAATATTAATTAATTCAAACTTGACATTTTAACTTGTAACAAATTTTTTTGCAACATTCTTAACAAATATACACCAAAATTGTGTTAAAAATATATTCTGTGGAAATTTTTGTATAGTACTTAACGGATTTTCAAGGTTATTAAATTGTTGTTATAATGAAAAATATGTTTTACAATTATTATTAAGTTATTCTTTTTCCTGATATCATAATATTATGAAAATTATATTATTCTTAATTCATAAATAACTAATATTAGCTAATTTTATTTATCCTAAATCGTAATCATAAAATCCCACGATAGAAACTAATTCCTCATTCATATCTAGCTATGCGATTCCTCAATACTCATGTTTTCATGTTTATTTCATCTAACCAACCGTAACCTCTAAATTGTACAACACGTTATTACGTCCAGCTTCCCACGCCATCGTCATTTTCTAGTGATAAAAAATTATTTTAAAAATGTCAAGATCCATGTACATACCTACTACTGCAAGGTTTAAATATTTGAATATTTTTGTATAAGATATTAAAGTAGCTTATTATTTGTATATATGTATTTGTAATAAAATAATAAACAATGTTAACTGTTAAATAATACCATACTTATATGCCGAATGGCTTATATGCATATTTGTCTTTGCTCACATATTTAAAATATTTTAAAATGTAAATAATAAATAACAAATATATAAGTTTGGTCAAAATAATATTTACTCATTGAAGAAAAGTAAATATTCTGTTTTATACAATTTTACAAACATTTAAAGGGTACGTATATTTTTATTGTCACTATAACACTACATTTAAGTCATATATCCATTATCCATATAAATACTCATTTTTTATAATGTGCAACAAGCAGTAAACCAAATGGGCGGAACCAAACTGGTACAGGGCCAAGAAAAATTGCATCTTTTTAGTTTATTAACTACTATATGTGGTGCTTAAATAAAACCATATAATTAATTTTGAAATCTCACTTGAAGTTATAATCACCGTCCAGTGAATTTTCTCTAGCGTACAGGTATATTGGCACAAAATCTGGCTTTAACTCATTAGCTACTTGCTCTTGGGAGTTTTTTGCAGGTGAAGAATTCAATGTTTGTGGTTTTTGTTTTAATGGATCAGCTGCCACTGACAAACACGTCACGATCAAACCCATCAAGGTATATTTCTGAAAGTAAATTAATCTCTAAAATGAATGTTTTAGGTGCAATGCACATAATGTACAATATGTATAGTACCAACTACTATTATTTATTAGTTACACCCCCATATGACTTGGTTTTAAACGTTAATACATCGGATGTTAGATGATTATCTTGTTAAAAGTGGTATGATTATTATAATGAACGTTAAAACTTAGAATTAATTATGAGTTGTAAATAAATTCAGTACCTAAGACGTGTATAAGTGTTGATTAGGATATGAATATAAATTAAAATATTTATACATAAATATAATTATAAAAATTACTCACAAATAAAAATAATAACTCAACACTATAATGTATTTTACTTAACACGTCTTCATCAATATCATAATGTATGTAATAAAAATCAAGAATATTGTAATATTAAACAACAAAAACATTAGCTAAAAATAATAAAACTATAGTTTTAATCACTGTTTAGAACATAATATTATAATAATTATTAGTAATTTTTAAGTAAAGAGTAGTAAAATGTCCAAACGAAAATCAAAAACACATTTTACTCGTAAAGATAATATAAAATAAAATGAATAACGTTAAAAAATATTACTCACCAGAAGCTCCATCGTTTTTGTGTTATATTTTAGAACCATTTTCGAACTGCCAGAGAGAGATTATTGTTTTTACTTTCTTCTCGTCGAGCCTATTTATATGTATGTAAACTCACGGCCAAGGTTAGGTTACAAGTTCATGTTACATCCGAGTATCTGGAATGGGTAGGGTGGAACCACTTCCTTCGATGAGTGTCCAGGCCTATGGTCGCGATGCATTACTTTGGGCGAAAGAAGTAGGAAATTAATACAGAAACGTGTGGGTATTATGCAATAGCTATAATATATGCAGCAGCAGCGTCCAGCGCAGAGGTTAACGACACTCCATTATTATTGTTGCCCACAAGACGCCGAAATCATAATATATCTTAATCCCGAGGCGATTATTATGAGGAAAAACTGGTCATCGCCGATGATCCGCGGTATATTATCATGTCCCACGTCCGTTTTCAGTGTTTTATTTGATATATAGATACATCGTGGTAGATAGGCAGGTACATCGCGGTAAATTATTATTATAGAACACGAAACGCATCAGTTTTTTAATTAAAGTGTAAGACGTATCCACAATGTTTTGTCGTAGCATTGAAATCAATTACTTTTACTTTGTAAGTTTCGTAAATAGTGCTCATAGCTCTCAATTTTCTATAGCTATACCATCTGATAACAATAATATTAACGATGTTAGTAATCCGAGGTAATAATAAAAAATATTATATATATAGGTACATTTTACCTAATCTTGTGTAATATTATAAAATCGTTTGTTTACAAAATTTAACGTTTAGGATTAATAGCCTCAAGCGTCGATCTACAATTATAGAAATCGTATCGTAATATCCACTTATTAAAACATTTCTTTTTTTTTTTATTACCACGAACACATACGTTGCGATGAAACTCGCTCCTATCATAATCATCTTCGTTTATGTTCTTAGAAGAAGTACCGCACATTTAACATAACGTGACGACCTGATTTGCTTAATTTAGTGACGATGCAAATCGGATAGATTTATTACACATATATTTTATTATTATTATACTCGTTGAATTAAAATTGAAAAAGTCTCAAAAACGCTTTTAGTCACATACCTACTCACATTAACTCGTATTATTCAATTCTATCTAAATTATTATTTTTAATTAATTTTCACTTACAAAAATAATTTTTTGTAAAACATTCTGATACTCAGAAGCTATTTGAAGGATAGCGGTTTTCAAACTATACATTTAGCTAAACATACTTATTAGTTATTGATGATATATAATTATGACGATACTAATTTATTATAGTAACTAGTATCAATCTCATCAACGTTTAGATTATTTATCTACGTGCAATGTAGAATACTCATTAATCATTGTTTTTACAATTTTACCGTAGTTCTTAAATAGTATCTAAAAGGAATATGATTATATGATGTTGCTTAACAAACGTCAAAAAATCTAAATCATGATAGAACAACTTTCCAGATTCATAACACATTAAAACAATAAAACGTGAATAAAAATACGCATAGGTAAGTATAAATTATTCTGAATTGTAAAAATAATCACGTTTCACTTTAAAAAAAAAATCCACACAGAGGCGTATTTTGGGTAGGGCAAACATATGGGGTTTGGTAAGTTCCCACACGAAACATAGCTGGTATAAACATATTATAATATGCAAGGTATTATAGGAAAAAACCCAGTAAGTGCGTACACTCATAGGTACCCGAGTTCATGTATAGATAAAATTTAATATGCATTATTTTCTGTACTGTACATGTGTATAATAATATAATAACATTAACAACATACATAAAACAATATTATACCTATAACATAATCTATACTATTTAGACATATTTGTATTTCCTACTTATTATGATACGAAAATAAAGCAGTCCATTTTGCTGAGTTCAGTGCTCGTTGACCGTTAAAAATTGGATTCAAGACGGTTTTTTATGCAACATAAAAACAAACAAATTTTAACCTCACCAGATCACCATCTACATTTAAGTTGACCTTCCTAACTCCTAAGTCTGAATAAAGTGGGAAAAAATTTAAAAGTAAATATAAATTAAAACGATTTCTTTTGACGAATAGGGTACCTATACATAATAATTTTTTTTTGTCGCAATATAATAATTATGAAACATGGTCTCAAATTGAGAGTGACCGGCCCTCTTCAAATCCACTGCATAATGTACTTATATTATAGTACTACATATCTGACTATTAATATTGAGAAGTTTAACAATAGGTGCATGACTAGAGACACGAGTAATACTTAAGCTTACTAACTTAACAGTTTCAATAACTGAACAAACATATAGTATACATTTATACCTATATATTATATAATACCATTTAACTGTTTGTCAGTTTAAGTGTATAATACTATAGACTTATAGGTTGGTACTAGGATCACAGTTATTTACACAGTTATCGTGGCTGCAGTATTCATCTTAAGTAACAAAAAATAAACTAAATCGTGTGATTTATACATATAAAACTATTAGCAATTTTTAAAACTTGAATTGTAATAAAACGCAATGTATTTCCTAAAAAATTGTATTATATAAACCATGAAAATTTATATTTTAGACCATGCAATATTGATTTAATTTTAAATGTGTAGGTTTAATTCGCGACTGTCGAATCGTTACAAATAATTTGCATCATCAATGCTTATTAGTAGGTACTAGACGTGGTTGGATAATATATTGGTATACCTAATTATAATTAGGTATATAATTTCCAGCAAAAGCATATTCATAAGTACCTGTTTTCTGACCAGCGACCGGTGAAATGCGTTTGTATAATAAATTATATGTTGTATTGGTACAAAATATGTACATATTTACTATTTAGCAATACATTTAAATTTTTAAACGAAATTTCCTTTTTCCCCAAAAATCTGATCTTAAGATAAAAGAATATTATAAAGAAACATTTTTAAACGACTCGAGAGTTAAGAATAAAAGATTAAACCTATATCCAGGTCTAGTATACCATATCTAACGATTACCACCATGGATAATATTTACATTTAAAATGGTTTCGAATCGAACTCGAGTTATATAATAATATTATGAATATTAAAAACACTAAATTACCTATGCACAACAATTGTTTGGCCCCTTGACGTGTAAATTCGATAAACCCCCTAATTTAGGACCACGCATATTCGACGAGTAATAATGGTATAATGGAAATTTATATGACGCTATGCACCTATAACATGAGCGTGTATAATATATATTTATAGGTAAAAATTAAAATCAACGTTGCCGTTGTCCTTGAGATCTTCTGTAAAATAATAATAATCAAATCACATAATCGGATCGAGAAAAACTGTAATATATATAAATATATATAATACGCAAACGACGTCCGTGTCTTTTATTCGTGTAGGTACTTTCAAGTAGTGTTTGGACAGCCTACGCGCGTTCATAACATTATTATTATATTATTATCGACGAACACTGAATGCACAGCCACCTGTCCTTATGACGCAACTGTCGACGGGGGAGAACAACTTGGGCTACACGGGTGCACGACTGTTTGAATGTTTACGCATTTTACCACATCGAATATTATTAATTTAGACTCTGAATAAGTACGACTAATTACCTTCTATTTTTTTTTCACGTAACACATGACATACCTACCTATATTATATGCTATAGACTAGCACCTCGTATGTTGTATTATAGTGTATCGCCTACGTGGTTATTACAGCATTCACTATTTTAATATATACTGTCTATAGGCACTATATGTCTACGCGGTCGAAGTCTCAAAACGAGTCGAGACACGTCCAGTCGTCCGTTTACAGCAGCTGCAGTCCCGCAGTGCAATATTATTATGCATCCGATGTACAATCAGACCGCCGGGCTGTTGAATTCTGACGCACAAAACATCCATCACACGCGAGTTTCTCACGAGAATATTGTGCAAAATTGAAGATAATAAAACATTATACACCATACTATAATATTATGCTGAGAAACTAGATTCAGTCTTCCGCCGTGAGCGACAATAATAAGACATTAGGTACCTACCGCACATATATTATAATATTCGTATTCGAATCGAGAGACACATAAAATCCATTATTGTTTTGACAGTATTACAAGTTATAATGGTATACGCATTTTGAGTGGCACCTTAAATTTATTTTTTAGGAGTTCAAAACATATATAATATCCGAATCACATCTATTTTTTATCGTGTTAAAATCTCTATAACAGTACCTCTATATTAAACTTACGGTATAATATTATATTGTTACCTATATCGAATTATTCATTTTGCACTTAACACTGATGCATATATCAGCTATATAACTACCTGTTAAAAATAATATAGGATCTACTACCTACATAATTAAATCTAAATCATCCTCATGGTCGTGATGTTCTAAATACGAATTTTAATAAAGATACAAGGATACACTTTAAATTATAATAAGAACGATGCGTAACACACCCATAAACCAATCATAAGAAGTTTCGAAATTATGAACAAAAATTATAACAATAAATATATACATATAAGTTATAACTCATATAAGGATGACTAGTAAATTCTAAACCAAAGCTATAAGCACAGAGTTTAAGTTAAAAGGCGAAGTTATATAAATCATAATATTCATATTAAAAGTTATGTTGATGATTTATATATATACTCATTATATTTTTTTTTATCTTAAGCCCGGCATTATCTATGTCCCATTAGTTGTATTGGTTTTTTGTACGTTTTTTAATGTCGGTAACATGTGTGACACGTGTGTGCGTATTATATTGTATCATGTTTAATGTGTGTATGATGAATATTGTATAATGCATTAATGTGTACCTAATGCATATACTATGTACTATGTATATTGTATACATTGTAAAATGTGATGTATTTATGACCTATCTACGTATAGTAAAATCATAAAACCGAACAAATATATTACCTATCGCCAATATAGGACAAGTACCTAGTAGGTACCTACTATTCACTTCATTGTGATATAATTATGAATAATATCAAACAATAAACTT